ACATTTATATTATATATATGCATTTATATATATATATATATGTATATATATTATTTATACTCGTTAATAATGATTATGTTTATTCGTGGTAATTATATTTGTTAGTAATAATTGTATTTATTAATAGTAATTATATTTGTTAATAATTGTTTTATTAGTAATAATTTTATTAATATTAATTATTTTCATTAATAATAATTATATTCACTAATAATAATCATACTAATAAATAGCAATAGGCGTAATAAATAGAAACAATTTGTAATAATAATAATATAAATAAATAATAATAAAAAGCATTAAACAATAAATTATAATACATGCACAGACCCAGCTATGCACACAGATCCATGCATGCATGCATGCATGCACGGTTGTTTGCTTGCATGCATGCATGCATGCACGGTTGTTTGCATGCATGCATGCAATGAATGGACGTATACGTTTGGAGGTGTGAAATGTTTGCATGCATGCGTTTTGCTGTTCTTAGTTTTTATATTATTATTTGATTTTTTTGTTTTTGTTTTGTGTACCAGTTTGCATGCATTTTATATTTCCGTTTCTGTCTTTATTATTTATATTTGTTTATCTCCACTTTATTATTTATTTATTTATTTATTTATTTGCATTGTTTTTTATTTCATTCTTACTCAATTCGTCTGTTGGTTGTTGGTGCCTTTGATATTTATTTGTTTGTTTTATTTTATAAAGTTTATTTTTGTTTGTTTTTGTTTGTCTTTGTTTTATTTATTTGTTTGCAGATGCAAGCGTGCGGGGCACTCCTTCTTTGTTTGGCGGTAGTCATTATGCTGGTTCATTACATTTAAGCAATGCTCAGGAGAGTTGCTGCTGCTGCTGCAACAGCAGCAGCTGCAGCAGCTGCAGCAGGGGGGCCCCCCCCATGGAGCCATTGATTAACTGGGGGGCCCCTCCTTCTGCTGTTGCTCTTTTAAAGGGTATTGAGTCTTTTCATCGTTTGCTGCTGCAGCAGCAGCCGTTCTTGCTGCAGGAGTTGCCGGCATGCTTGACGCAGCTGCGGGGCTCTGATTGCAGCCCTGCTGCTGCTGCTGCTGCGGGTGCTGGTCACGCTGCTGCTGCTGCTGCTGCTGCTGCACCAGCAGCTTGGGGGCCCCTCCATGCTGCATGCGGCCCCAGACCCATTAGCGATGAAGAGAGAGGAGCATACTTCTTCTGGTTAGAGAAGCTTTATGAATTTAACTCAGGCCGTGTTCTTTTTGCTACTAATCAATTAAACTTCTTCACCAGGGCCCTATTCAAACAAACGGTAGCACCAAACCCCACCTGCAGCAGCAGCAGCAGCAGCAGCAGTAGCAGCAGTGGGGGGCGTTGGGGGAAGGCAGGGAGTGCCTTGGGGGCCCCTAGGGGCCCCTGCATACATAGCAGAAGAACTGCAGCAGCAAAACGGAGAGGCCGTCGCAGCAGGAGAAGCAGATGCAGCAACTACCGCCACATCAGCAGCAGCAGCGGCTGCTGCAGCAACACCAGCAGCAGCAGCGAAGATGTTCACCCACGTCAGCTGCAGCACAAGCAACACGACGTGAGGCTGAAGCAGCAGCACCATCGGGCTCTCCAGCAGCAGCAGCAACAGCAACAACAACAACAGCAGCAGAACCAATGGCACTCTGCCTCACATGTGCAGCAGCAGCAGCAGCAGTTCCCTTTGCCCAATACTTCCTGCAGCAGGAGCAGCAGCAGCAGCAGCTGCTGCCCCTCTGTCTCTTCAGCTGTTGCAAACCCGTTTCAGCCAAAGAGGCTTCAGGGCCCATCAGCTCCACTGAAGGAGGGGGTCCCCCATGAGCAGCAGCAACTGCAGCAGCAGCTGCAGCAGCAGCAACTGCACCACCAGCAGCTGCAGCAGCAGCAACTGCACCACCAGCAGCCACAGCAACTGCACCACCAGCAGTTGCAGCAGCAGCAACTGCAGCAGCAGCAGCTGCAGCAGCAGCAGCTGCAGCAGGGTGTGGGGCCCCTCCGTCCTCCAACAGACGACAGCCACACGACACAGCTTCTATACGGAGAGGCAGCAGCAGAATTGCGGACGTGTACACCCCAGAGAGGACCCGCTGAAGGCAGCAGCAGGAGCAGCAGGAGCAGCAACAGCAGCAATGGGGGCTACCAATCTGCGTCTGTATCTGCAATGAAGCACCAGCCACTAACGCTGCAGCAGCAAGTGCTGCTGCAGCGGTTGCTGCATCAGCAGCAGCTGATGCACCAGCAGCACCAGCAGCAGCAAGAGCAGCTTCAGCAGCAGCTGCAGCAACAGCAAATGCTGCTGCAGCAGCAGTCGTGCTGCGATGAAGCGTTTGATGCCGGGGATGAGGACGAGCTGCTGCATCTGCTGCGGCAGCAGCAGATGCAGCAGCAGCAGCAGCAGCTACAGCAGCAACAGCAGCAGCAGCAGCAGCTCCTACACAGCCTCCATCAGCAACAGCAGGCTCGCCCGCCTGCCTGCCGTATCTCGGAGCAGGAGCACCTATAC